GTATGAATTGATTGGATCAACTAACAGTTGTGTGTGGTACATGTATTTTTTTGTGTAAATAATAAATAAAAAATAATTAAAATACGACCTAACGCTAAACAATCAACTATCGATGTACTTTACCATTATTTCGATAATTTCTTTGATTCCAGAAATCATGGCAGGATCCCTGTTCCACCAGTCGACAGTGCATGTTGTTCAGATTACAGCACATGTTCTACTGTAAAAATGGATGGCCTTGGAACATCAATAAAAAAATAAAAATATGTAACAGTTTTCTCAAGTAATAATTGCAAACGTAACTGATGGTTAGGTCCTTTTGTTCCAGAAAAATCATTGGTTAGGCCCCTTGATTCAGAAAAAGCAACGAACGCATCATTGAATTGATTTTGAATAATTGTATTGGAGACTTTAAGGCTTTTGTCTAGAAAAAGCATTGATAGAGAAATGGTTTAGATAAGACATAATCTCTCTCCCCAAAATATCTTTAAGTTCTACTAAATTCCACAATTCCCAGTCTCGATATAATCCCGAAATTCTCCCAACTCCCATGTCCAAATCATTTTATTTCCCGTAATTCATTTCTTGTATAGCACAGATTGAACGATATCAGCACAGGAATTTAAACACTTACGCCCTAATTCTTGTCGAAAGAAAATTGCAAAATCCTTCCACGAACGCATTGACTGTGACAGTACGCATAATTGAATCGGAAATCCTATGATTATAAAACTATAGAGAGATCAAGTATCGGGAAGGGGGGATTCTTGAACTTCGTTATCAGTTGGCTGTCACACACATTGATCAGTTAAAGCATTTATTATTTTTTTACTACATGAATTTTTAGGTAATCTTTGGAATTTACGAGCAATTGTTATTTTTAAGAACGATGGGCTCATATTATTGGACAGCAGTCGAATTAAAATCTAAAGTTTGTTCCAGTAATGCTTCGGTTTGTCTGTACAATGGAGTGTATTATTTGATCGAGAACAATGCCTGTCTTTTAATCAGCCTGTCAACATTTGCTTAAATTTATTATCTTTTTTGAATTTACAGTTCGTATTAGCAATAACGAAACCATTCTATCCAAAGCCAAATTATTACGACCTATGTCGTTATTATGACCCTTCCGATAATATCATATTAACGGAGTAGACTGTTATGCTCTTTCTTGAAATGTCAAATTACTAAATTATGTCATTTGTGACACAATCAAAATAATTAAGCATTGTTTATTGATTATACAATCCACCCCCCCCCCCCAATTAACGTTAGAAAACTCCGGTTATTTCATATTAAGAAAATTCTTAATGAAAATATTTTGTCATAGTTATCTAATTTTATGAAGAGTTTCTTGATAAAATTATAATTACATGTAGTGAGGTTTCTCACAAATAAAAGATTTTTCCGAAATTTTCGTTCTTTGGATTTTTCGGCAACATTGTGATACCAAATTTATGCACACTTCAAATAATGTTTATTCGCTTACAATATCGATAATACAATCATTTAGAGAGAGATTGCATTATTAAAGTATAATAATTAATCAAGAACGTGCATTTAGAGAAGAATTTGTATTTATGGAATTTAATTGTGATTATAAATCAAGTGATAAATACCCCCTTACTATGACATTCGTGTTGGATATGGCAAAATTACAAGTTCATATTTGTTTTGACTAAACTCATTATTTATTGATTGAATAAAGTGAACAACAAAATAATTCTCGCCTTTTGCAAACACGAGCACAAATCAAATTCCTTCTTGATAAGATTGTAGCTTTAAAATTCTTTTTATTCCCGAATTTAGTAGCATAAGAAATAAAAACAGTTCGGCCGCATGATGATCGACATTTATCGCGAAACGTGTTTCAAAATTCCGAGAAAATTGTAATAATTTTCGTGAATATAAATACAGATCCAAATAGTTTAAAATTCGTTAGTCAACCATCTATTCTATCTTTTTATTCCTCTACGTGATATTATTGAATAATAACGTTTTGAAATATACCAACATTAATTGCTTTGCAAATTAGAATTATAGAAATTTCATATTTTTAATATTTAATCATACAAAAAATTTGTAGTTTTACGAGAATGAAATCATCATCAATTTTTGCATTATTTGCATACATCAGTATATCAGCCGTAAAAACTCATGCATGGGGTAATGAAGGACACATTACCGTTGGTAATATTGCCCAAAACATACTCACGCCCGAAGTTGCGGGAAGGGTAAAGCAAATTTTCCAAGATCCATCATTTAATGGAAAACTTGGTCCTGCCTCGATTTGGGCCGATGAAGTTAAACATAAAAAAGGAGAATACTTTGGATGGAGTGCACCATTGCATTTTTTGGATACGAACGATGACCCAGGAAAGAGTTGCTCAGTCGATAAGGTAAAGCAAATTTAGATTGAATTAATTTTTAGTCATATAAACGTCGCCATTCTAATTTTATTGAATTGAATTTACCACGATAGAACAAAGATTGTCCGGATGGTAATTGTATTGTTGGCGGTTAGTATCGTAATCCTTATTAAGAAAAATATAATATAAAGTGCAAATACGAACTTTAAATTCTAATTCCACTTAAATTTTAGCCATTGCGAATTACACGGAACAACTTAATTGTGCGAATGGTGGTAGTGTTAAAACTCGGGATGTTGCACTTCGATTTTTAACCCACTTTTTTGGCGACATAACTCAACGTAAGTTATATATGGAATGTTTGCTTGAAAGAAAACAGCTAAGCTAAAACTTTTTTATTTTTTAGCACTTCATGTCTGTGGTCGCGAGCTTGGAGGAAATAAACATAAGATTACGTTCAATGGAAAGACGAATAAGTAAGCAATTTCACATTATGTATTTATATACGCAGCATATAATGATCTTCATTCTAAGACATTTAAACTTGATTATTTATTATTAGTCTCCATTCAATATGGGATACAGAGATGGTAGTCAAACGTATCGGAGACTTTGGAAACGATGTACAAAAATACGCAGATTTTCTCACAAACGAAATAAAAACAGGTTCGTATGAACAAAACTCGACAGATTGGATTGCATGTGATTCCACAAAAAGACGTAGATCTCTTTTCGACAATGGCTCATTGCAAAGACGAGCAGAAGCCGAGAGTACAAGGTGTCCTTTTGTCTGGGCGACTGATACCAACAGTATTAATTGTGGGGTCGTTTGGGATTATGTGGATGCTAATTCTGATGCTGATTTATCGGATGAATATTATAATCAAGTTCACCCGATTATTGATATGCAACTTGCTAAGGGGGGATATAGACTAGGTGTATTTTTGAACAATCTTTTGGGTGATAGTAAATGCTCGAATTCGAATGGAAATCAAACTCCAAGTAATAATGGAGATAATAATGGTAATAGCGATAATAATGGTAATAGTGATAATAATGGTAATAGCGATAATAACGGTGGAAAAAAGGGAAAAGGGAAAAAAAAGGGGAAAGGAAAAAAAGGCAAAAATAATTCAAATTAACATAAATAATAGCATTTTTGTATAGAAATTAGCATATTATTTGTATAGAAATAGTTATCATGTGACCTAATTATCAATATAGTTCGACATCTTTTTAAACCGTTCAAAATTCTGCCCAAAATCCTGAATGACCAATATCCTGGGATTGCCAAAAGTCCGACGCCAAAAATCCAACATCCCAAGATTCTTAAATCCTGGTTTCCCAGCATCCCGACGCCCAAAATTTCGAATGCCTAAAATCCAACTCTCCAACATCCCGACATTCCAAAATCTCAAATAAATAAAAGTATGTGTAAAGGTACTGTATGTATGTATGAAAAAGGATAATTTAAGACTAGTACAAATTTCACCTTTACAATAGTGATAATCATTATTACACGTACCTATAGGAATATCGGGATGTTGGAGTTGGGATTGTGAACATTCTGGATTTGGACGTTCGGGATGTTGGGACGTTCGGGATTTTAGGTATCGGGATTTGGAATAGATACTGTCATACCTCCATATAATCACACCTTTGTGAACAGCAGCAAGTGTGATTTTAAAGAGTTGTGACTAGGTCAAATTTCCTATACGTCAGGAAAACCTTTGAATACAGTCAACCGCAAAAGTATCCGATCCCTTCTAACTTTCCATAGATCATGTGTAATGCACCTAATTTTTCCGAGCATAAAAGAACATCACAAATGCTGATCATGATACCTTTTATAGATTGGTAAAGCTTTCTATATCGAGTATTGATGTTCATAAGCTTTCATACCCAAATACAGGGGAGCGTTAAAGCAAGGCAAGCCATTTAGCCGGTTTAGCCACAACACGCCACGTTTGATCGGCGGCACATGATTTGAAAAAAAAATACCATTATTCACATAACGATAATAAAAAAAAACTTGTAAGTAAAAAAAATTCTTGCTAAATGAAATTTGCCTTTCTCCATAACATCATTTCTTTTTGTTCTTCCTTCTAACATTATTTTCATTTTTTTATACTCCTTGGAACAATATAATTTACAAGTTTCTTAAGCGTTCTCAAAAATATTAATTATGTCTAATGCATTGCAATCAGGCATGGACACTCTGACCTGCCAAAATGACACTTTCTAACTTAATTTATAATTTTTATGTTTTCTAACCAGAATTATATAGTTATTCTTCAGCTCTTGCTACTCCATGTCAAACTTTCATGAGTATTTTTTTAATATTGATAAAGCATTTGAACTTTCTCTCAAAGAATTCGATAAGAAATAGACATTCATCAAGAATATATGGACTAGGTTTAATAGAAATAAATTATCAAATAGAAATAAGTGAAAAATATACGTATGCAAGCTCTTAAAACCCCAATAATCAAGTAGATGCAAAGTTGGTATTCTCCCTGATAAACTTTGAACAACTTAGAAGTCTTTTCCAATTGAGTATGAGACTAGGATTAAAATCACTTGGTTTACAGACAAGATTCAAATTGAAAATTATAAAGATTTTCCTGCTCACTCTCATTCAATCAAAGAAAGTGATATATGAAAATGGTCAAGATTTATTAAAGATGTGATAGTTAATGAAGCTATAAAGGAGTATAAGTCTTCTACGATTACTAGCGTAGTCTGAAAATAACTTTTCAAATTACATAAAAACTCCAGTGTAGAATATCTTAGAACTCAGGAAGTTGCAAATATTAAATTGAAACTCATAGGTCTGATAATCTCATATCTCATCAGAAATATCAATTTAAATACTGATATTCAGGATGCATATAAGTTTTTAATTCAAAAAAAAATCATGTTAAGTTCTTTTTTATTTAAATATTATATCAAGGACTATGTTTTACAAGTTCTGTATAATTGGAGAATCTAACGTACTATGGATAGTTATCATTGATCAATTTCACTCATAATACCAACAAGCATAGTTGATGCTTGTTCATAATTTATGTTTGAGATAGTTATGGTTGTTGGTGTGTAGATGCGTATTTTTTTATTAGCAATGAGAATAGTATCATAATTGTAGCAGGATTGAAAATAATCTGAAAATTCACTCTTAATGAAGATCAAGATATATATTGCTTGATCAGAATAGCATGGAAGCTAATGAAATTATGGCCATCTTTCCTAGTCTCTGTGTAGAAGAGCAAGAATGTGACATTCTTCTATATACTTGTAAGATTATTTTGTTAATATTTATAAACAAGAATAAAATGCGATATGAATAAGTTTTAATTTTATTTTATAACTTTAATTATTTTTATTGTTTAAAAGTATTCAGATCTGAAGTTAAAATTACAGAACAGACAGGTCTTATTTATAAGAAAGAAATGAATACAAAAAGTGAATAAATTAATAATAAATTTCTAATTAA